GCCTCCATATTTAAGCATCTCAGGATGAATGTCGTGCAATCCAGGTGCCTTGTTGTTTTTCAGCTTCTTTTTACTTCTTCGATTTTTACGTCAGATACGTCTATATCTAGGTCTAATGGTTTATTTATCATTGTTAAATTCTTGCAATTGGTTCTGGTTGGTTTAGCACTTCTTTGAAGTGTTTCACCCATTTATTTTCTTGTTCCTCCTGTTTTTTCAAAATTTCTCCTGATTTCCCTTTCATTGGGACACTTGTGAATTTTGATCCATATCCTGTTAACTGTTTCAGGATCGTGTAGACTGTTCTTGTATCGTTTCTTTCCCCTGCTTCTTCAGCTTCACGAGCCTTATTTTCTATCCAATTCCGCTTATCTTTTTTGCATTGTTTCTTTACTGCTTTGTCAAGGTTCTGTAGATTTGTTTTGTTTCTTCAGTCGCATGTTGTAGTACTAGAACCTTTTGTTTTTTTCTTTTGTCTATAATTTTCCATGTTTCTTCTTCCACTGATCTTTATTGCTTCCTCTCTTTCTACCAATTATCTTTTCAGCTGCTTCTAGCATAGCTGTTTTGGAAAGATTCCAGTATTTTTCCACTTCGTTTTCTTCAAGATCTTTAAGGGCCTCAAACCAGTACTTGACCTCTATCTGGTACTCTTTTCGTATCCTGCAATCTTGTATTGTGTATTCAATACACAATTCTGTGTATTGAATAATCAGAGTCTTCTCTCTTTTTGAGCACTTTAAACTTCAATTTGATGTTTGCTTTCAGCAAGTAGTGATCGATCCCTATATGGGCTCCTCTGAATACTCGTGTCTGACACAGATGTTTTCCACCTCTGACTAACACAGATATAGTCGATCTCATTTTATGTAAGGTCATCTAGTGAAATCCATGTCTTTTTGTGTACATTTTTATGTTGGAAGAAAGAATTGCAGATGCTAAGATTGAATTTTGTGCCAAAAACAAGAAGTCTTGTGCCATTGTCTGTCACTGTTCCAGTTGTATGTGGGCCGATGAAAGAAGAGGTTAGGAAACAGTCATTTCTGATCTGGGCATTAAAATCTCCCATAACCAAGACAAGATTGTGGTTTGGTATTTCTTTCATTATGTTGTTCAATTCTGCATAGACTCTCTCTTTGTCCTCTTCATCTACATCATTTGTTGGAGCATATGCCTGGACTATGGTGCACTTAATGTGCTGAGAGTGGAATCTAGCTGCCAGTTGTACAGTCACCCTTAATTCTGGCATTTCTTAACTTTGGAGTGTTTGATTTTGCAACCTTAATGTTTTCTTAACAGATATTTTAGATGTACTATAACATATAATATACCCAAAGATACTTTTCGGTATGAGCACCCTGTAAGTGTAACTGGTAAAGCCCTAGTGAATTAACAGGCAAATATTACTGCTTTTTGTTCCCTACTGACAATTTTACCTTTTTCAATTACCTGGCTCCCATTGATAAGTTTGTTTTTGCAGCTGACAGTTTAAGGATCAGTACTTTTCCTTCCCTCTGTACACAATTTAAGATTATTTTTGTGTATCTGCACTTTTAAAAATATTATGTGATAATACTAAAATAAGCACCTTAAATCAATAAAACATATACTTTCAACAACTCTTTACTAGCAACCACCATAGCATCACCTGCTGCTATTATTAATAATGACCAATACAAAGTGCAAGCAAATAAGTTTTGTTAAGTACCCCGAGACTGGAGCAAACTGTTGAAGGGTAAAGGGCCTAGTGATGTGAGTTCTCTACTGGGAACACCCTGTCGCTGGCCATAGAAGTCTGATAGGAATCTACAGTGAGAATGGATCCCACGAATTAGAACTCCTATGAGAAGACACAGAGCAAGAGGCAATCCATGAGTACCAGGCATCTTTCTAACTAGGTATTTACAGTGTAGAAATAGTGAATATAATTAAACCAAACAGGGCACCTGTGCAGAGCCCTTATCTATTCTGTTCACATTCATCCCATTCAATTCTGCTCTATGTGAAGCTTTGAAGGTTTCAAGGGTTGTCCCAAATTGAGCACACTGCAATAATCTTGTTACAAGGGCATGGATCCAAGTACCAAGAAACACACCAGAGAAACTGTCTCAGCCTCCTGAGCAGCCATAGATGGAAAATGACACATCATGGTATTCTCGGCTGATGACCAGGAACAGCAATGGATCAACAGTAATCTAAAGACTGAATCACACTGACAAGTGTGGGATACACACCTCAAACAGAAGACATTCTCAGCCCCCACTCACTCCTCTAACATTTTCATGTACCTAAGAGCACAGCTTCCATCATATCCAGGATGAGCCTAAGCCATTCTCTACCATATACTTCCCCAGTTGTCTCAAACAGTTGGAGATCACAAGAACCTAGAATCCAGGTTTAATAAAAAAGAATCATAAGGTCTAAGCGTCATCCATCATTGACAACCCTACTGTCCCTACCAGTTGAAACATGCACATAAATAAGATGGAACCCTGCACAAGACAACCCCCTGCAGGGAAGAATAAGCATCTCTTACTACCCTTTGGAGCTCTCCAAAGAACAAACATACTGAAACATCTTCACATCCATTCCCGAAAGCTTTGCAGAAAAGTCAGCAAAGCCTAGTGGCCACTAGTATCCAAGGCTATTTATAATTGAAACAAGACTAGCATGGATGCTTTGCTTGTGCCCATACCACCATTTCATGGCTATCTCAGACTGATAGAGTGAATCCATGTTTGAGTCGCAGTAACAGAAGCTGCCTCATTTACCACCTACGCAGCTATACCATATCCAAGAGTTAGGTTAGAGACTCTGTCTAAAGATGGGTCACTTGAATATTTTCATACAAGTTTAATTTATTTTAAATGATTCTTAATAGTGTGAATATTTGTTAATGGCAAGTAACATTAATTTTCATCATCTTGTAAAGGTGAACGAGAAGATTTGTGCATGGACTAGTGAGTTTTCAGGACTATTTTGCAAGATCTTGTTAAACACTTTCTATGGTTACAGAACATTTTCCAAAGGAAATCTACATAGTAATTATTTTAATTATTTCCTTTACATTTCAGTTACTTATGAGTCACTGAAGGTGAAAACGGAAGCACAGGAAGAGGAACCAATGCGTGATCAGACCTCAAAACATTCCTAGGCAACAACTCCCAACCCTGCTGCTATATATTACACCGAGCATACCTCTGGCTATTATAACCCCTGGTTGTGGCAAGTCTTATTTTATTCTAACTGCAACAAGATCAAACTACCAAACTGTAATTTCAGATGTGACACATGAACCCAATCTCAATAAAAGCACTATAATAATGATTTACCAATAGCAGCAAAAGCATTTTTTTTTAATTAAAATAATATATATGGCTACTTTTATGTCTGAGATGTGTTATGTAGTTCAGGGGAAACACTATCACTTGCAGAACACAAAAGGTTTTGGACCTGAGGAAAACTGTCAGTGCTTAGAATGATAACACAAAACTAGCCTATGAACTTAGAGGGTATTTTTATTACTATCCACTTTCCAATTTCCAGAATTTTAAATGTTTAAGTTAAGTGGCATTCCTTGTTATACAACTATTTTATTTTTAATTAAGATTTTGTTTGCCAAGACTAATACATTTACTTAATCTGTTATTTTAAGTTTCTCTTGAACGTATTCATCAGCATCCATTTTTTAAATACCACTGAGAGAAGACTGCTATAGACTGACATGCACGGACCGAAAAAAAGAGTTTGAGCATTAGCTCCAAGTTTCCTTGCCCCTGCGGATTGTCTTTGTGGAAGACAGGTGACTTCACAGAACAAACTAAAAGTGTAACACATTAGCTCTGAGCACCCAAAAAGCATGCGAGGCACTTCACAGGCACAAAGAAAGCCACTCCGTGCCCTGAATAGTTTATAACCTAAATTCAGACATGAACCTCCATGAAGACCAAAACAAATAAAATAGGATCGGGAACAAGGGTTATAGGAATGAGGCCAGGTGGTTAAACTGTGAAACATCTAACCATCTTGAAAGAAACGTTAAGCCTGTTTGGCATTATTTGCATCCCATAAACAGCAGAGCAGAGCGTAGGGCCCACACAGCCTGCGGTTTATTTAACATTGTTCTGAAACCCCAGAGGCTACCCAGTTGGTCAGGAAGCCGCACGGGATGATCAGCAGAGCCCACAGAAGAGGCTGGAAAGGAGCTCAGGGGAAAAAGCAGCGTGACCAGCCTCCTCCGATGTGGGGAAAGGAAGGGGGGGGGAACTACGCCCTCCCCGGACAGACCGCTGGCAGGGGAGAAGAGCAGCGGCGTGGTCGGCTGGCTCCGGATAACTGAGGCGGGGGCAGGGAAGCCAGCTCCAGAGACACACCGGGCTGGCGGGGAGAGAGAGTGGTGGGGTAGCGGGGGCGCGCCACCCCTAGAGGCTGCCAGCGGGCGGCAAGGAGGCAGGCCGCCCCTGCGGCCACCCCCACAGGAAGCGGCTGCCGACCAGGACGGGGGCGGTGCAACACGGCAGGAGAGAGAGAGAGAGAGAGAGAGAGAGAGAGAGACACATCGCGGCGGCCTGCCAGCGCCAGAGACAGGCGACTACGGGGAGCGGGCCCCGCACGCTCCGGCTGCAGGGCGGGGAGTGTCACGGGTGGCCGGCCAGCCAGTCTCCCTGCCCGGGCAGCGGGCAGCCGAAGCAGGGCGCGTTTGCGGCCTAGGCTGCTCCGCCCCCGCGTCCCCACGGGGCCCCGTACTCACATCTGGCTGACCAGCTTCTGCCGGAAGTTCGTGCTGCGCCAATCGGTCTCCTGCCCAGACACGTCCATCCCCGCCCTTGCTGCCGCTGCCGCCGCCGCCGCCAACCCCAGCCGCCGCGGTTCCCTCCGCCGCTGACGACGATCCGCCACAGGCTAACCCGGAAGTGACATCAACTTCCGGCGCAGGGGGCGCGCGCGACTGCGCTGGAAAATGAAGTCTCCTTTGGCCTCGGTCTCGCCAGCAGTTCTTCCCCCGATGCATGTTGGGAAACGTAGTCCCGCTGCTTCCACATTCACATGCGGCCCCCCGATGCGTGGTGGGAGATGTAGTTCTGTGTGTGGAGCCGGCTCAGAGGTAACCGCGCACCGGGCAGGACGGTCCCGGCTGCTCAGCAGCACTCCGCCGGAAGGGACGCTGCTTAGAGCCCGTGGCCCCAGGTCGGCCTTGGTCCCGCAGTGAGGCAGCCCCCGGGGGGCTTGCAGCCCCACCCGAGGCCCTGGGCAGCTGAGGGGTGCGCACAGTTTCCTAGGAAAAAAGAACAGGAGGACTTGCGGCACCTGAGAGACTAACCAATTTATTTGAGCATCAGCTTTCGTGAGCTACAGCTCACTTCATCGGATGCATTCAGTTTCCTAGGAGAATTTTATTTTGTCTTCAGTCCCTCAAGGGCGAACGAGAGGCTTGGGCCTTAGCCCTACAAGCGGCTCCACGAAGCTCACGTCCTGCAGGTATGCAGAGCTCCATTGACTTCAGCGGGGCGTCACACAGGTGGTGTAAGGGTTTGCCCAGGCAGAGCAGCCTGCACGGATGAGGCCTTGGTTACAGCCAGCATTGCCTCCAGTCCGTCTATTAAATGCTTTCTCTCCCAAAAGCCAGAGTGAAGCCCCGCAGGGCATTATCATGCCCTGCCCCTTCGCTGCTGCCCTCCTAAATGGCTTCAGAATTTAATGCTTTAATTTACAAAAATAACAATGGGAGACTATTCTGTTTGACAATTTTGTACCTACTGTAGGCCCCTGTGCTTAAGCACGAGTAGTATCACCAAATTCACGAGAACTACACACGTGCTTAAAGTTAAGCACAGGATCAGGTCTTTAGTTCCAAATAACATCACCTCTTACTCATCTCCATGCATTTAGCATTTGTATAAGTGCTTGCAGAACCAGAGTTTATGATTCTTATAACTGCTAGATTTGAGGGGAACATACTTCTTTTTTTGTTTGTTTACTTTGTGCATTAGACAGCACTACATATTTGCCCCCTTGCTAAATAGATCAGTGGGGCCACCCTGAAGAGGCACATCATTAAGAATGGGAAGAGACAGAGGACTAAAGTAATAAATCTAGTAAAGGCATCAGAAGCAGGCAAAATGGAGCAGAGGTCTACTACATGGGGCAAGATTATGGAGGACTTTATGTAGATGAGGAAAAAAATTAATAGGGTGCTGTAAGAGACAGGTAGCTAATGAAAAGATTCAAGAAACACGGATGGAGTGATGGGATAGGAAGTTTACTTTGGGCAGCCTCATTTTTTAACAGACTACAGGAGGAAGAGGTGAAAGACATGGAAGCCAGACAAGCTAGTTACAGAAATTAAGGCTAGATGGAGACAGACCAGGTGCCCCTCAGAAAGATTTAAAAAGAAGGAAATTCTTCAGGTTAATTGAAATTATTTTCTTCATATGACTTTTACATCTATAATTCATTTAAATTGAAAACTGAAAATGAAAGTATAAGGAAAGAACCAAAGGATGACCTAATAATTAAGAAACATTCCTATGGAGCAGCAATCAGTGGTATTTCTATAGTTCAAGTTCCACATACTTTTCATAGTAAAAATCTAGTTATGCAAGTTCCAGTTGACTCAAACAGAATCAGGATGACATTTACAGCCAATTTAAAGTGTGGGGAGTAATCATCACAGTGTCAGTAGACTCACTGTACTGACACCAAGTTACAATGACAAATGTTCTGAGACAAGCAGCCATGCATGTTGCACTTGTGATAATGTGGCAAGTATGGGCACCTGCATATTACAAAGGAAGCCACACAAAGCTTTCAGAGCTATAGCTGCAGGAAGAAGCTCGTTAATAGGTTTGTAATTATAATACACAGAAAGATGTGGAAAAGGAAATGAAAATACATTCCCTGGCAGGCAAGTTAGAGGTACAGCGGTAGTGGGATTTCTCTGACTCAAATAAGACACTGTATTATTAATCTCTGAGGCAGTAGAGTGGGACATGGCACGCCTAGGAGCATATTTGGTAAGGGAAATGTCAACCAAATTGTACTCACTTTGCTGGTCGTTCACTTAGCAACAGCAGCACATTTTGGAGTAAGACACATGTGGATAGGACCAACCAATTTATCACTTGATGAAGTGAGCTGTAGCTCACGAAAGCTCATGCTCAAATAAATTGGTTAGTCTCTAAGGTGCCACAAGTACTCCTTTTCTTTTTGCGAATACAGACTAACACGGCTGTTCACAGGTTTCAGAGGGATAGGACCAGTCACTGTAGTGTCTAGGGCTTCAGAAATTTCAGACAGTGAGACAAACATTAATACAAGTGATGAGGCAGTCAAAAAAACCACACAGGTGAAACTGGATAGCACACCTTTGTGAGACTGTGAGTATTACTTCGCTCTCTGCTGAGTGCAGCACTGGAATGGCCCAATTCAGGCATGTAGGTGGGATGCTCTAGTCCAGCAGCAGCTGTGGTTTCTCAAGGGGAGAGAACAGGCAGAGCAAGGCTGTGTGCTTATATGTTCCCAAGTGCCAGTTTCTTAGCACTATAAACCCCTATACACAAGTTGCCATTTCCCTCATTTGGTAAGGGGTTTCTCTCATATTGTACTGATGTTACTTTCTTAATAAGCTATCTTATCTCTCAATTATGTGGCAATTACTTACATTCACACTAAGGGACTGATCCTGAAAAGTGTGATGAGTATAGATTTTTTATGAGGAACTTAGAACCATAGAATTATAGGTAAGGGGTGAGGTTTTCACGGGAGACTAAGGGAGTTGTGCCTAACTTGATATGATGCTGTAAAAGGAAGGAAGATAATGAAGATGTTCAAAAGGCATAAGTAGCAGCATTTTGATCAGACTAGAAATGGGAGGCCAAACAGGAGATTGTTACAATAATTAAGACTAGACAGAGTCGATAGATCCTGGTGTCATGGAAAGCAGTGTGGGCAGTGGGCACTGTTCCCTCTAAGCTCTGCGTGTGTGCGCGCTCTCACACAGATCCTAAACCCCAAGCACACGGTGAAACACCACGCACACATTTATCCCGCGTCCCGACCGCACATTGGTTGGGACGCCCTTTGTCCCGATATCGGGGACCAGTCACCATCACTGCTACAGTCCTGGGGCTGACATGGCGGCGCTTCCTGGGGCAGCTCCTGGCTGTGCGCCTGCCCGCTGGCAGGAGCCTGCAGTGCGGGCGGTGGCTAGGCACAGAGATGGAGGGGGTCTCAGTGTGCTGCATTGGCTCCCTCCTGCCCAATCAAAGCTGCGGGGGCAAGGCTTGCAGGTGCTGACAGTGGGCGGAGAGCCCTCCGCCCCCCCCCCCCACACCCGACCCTACGAGTCAGAGGGACCTGCTGGCTCTTAGGGTCTCTGCGCGCTGCCGATGCCTGCAAGCCCTGCTCCGCGGCTCCGGCAGCTCCCATTGGCGCTTTTCCCGGCCAATGGGAGCCACAGAGCTCACGCTTATGGCAGGCACAGCTCGTGGAGAGTCTGGAGACCACCCACCCCACCTCTCCACTCTGACCCTAGGAGCCAGAGACCTCCCAGCAGGGCTGGTGAGTGCGGCCAAGGAAGGGGGCAGAGCGTGATGGAGTGAGTGTCTGGGTTGGAGTGCTGGGCTGTGAGGATGTGGAGGGCGCTGGGCAGTGTGGGAGGTTTCTGTGTTTTGGGATGCTAGGCAGTAGGGGCCTGTTGGGGGGTGCTGGGCAGTGGGGGAGATCTGTGTGTGTCAGAGCATTGGGCAGTGGAGGTCTGCGTGGGGCATTGTTTAGTTGTGGTGGGGGGACTGTGGGGAAGGGCACTGGGAGGGAAGGAGGGAGGAGAAATCTGTGTGTATTGGGAAACTAGCGAGTGGGGGGTTCTGCGTGGGGTGCTGGGCAGCTGTAGGCGGGCTGTGGGCGGGGGGTCGCTGGCCAGGGGTGGTGGTGTGCACAGCACTGTGCATTTGTGGTGGAAATGTGGGGGGAGGGTTGTGGGGAGGCTCTGGGCATAGTGGGTTCAGGGGGTGCAGGGCAGGGGAGCTGTGTGGCTCTCTTGCTACCCCCTCATCCCCCCACTCGCCCAGTTTGTCCTGATATTTCACTCTTGCGATCTGGTCAGCCTATTTACAGGCCACTTTTGACATTGTTCATCCGCCATCTATCAACACAGCAAGATTCTACTAGCTGGCAAGGGGGGGAAAGGGAAAGGAGGGCAATGAATCATACCCCTCCCTGCCAGCATTTTGAATGTGGAACGTTGATCACGTCGGGACGGTCGGGACCCACACATCTCCTTGTAGTCTATTCATTTGGCTGTGTACAAACTCAAGTACGTGCAAATAAGTCAAAATGCCTGGCTGTAGTTGCTAAGGAACTGCAAAGATTTCCCAGAAATGAACAAAGGTAAGTGTTGTTTTTGTGATTGAAATCTTTCAAAGGCATTGGACTTCATACATTTATTTGTGATGTTTTACCATTTTCCCACATTTTTTTTGCCACAGATGCATGGACGTGATTGGAGCTATGCACAAACTTCTGGTATCCTGATCGGAATGATCTCCCATTTGCCCTTTTGTCGAGTCATGCTGTTAAGCGCATTGAAATAGTAGCCATATAATAAAAGTGTTAATTTTAAATAAACCAATCTGCTAAAAAATCAATTCTAAAATGTCACTGTCTAGAGGTCTAAAGCGTAAAAGAACAGCGACTTCATTTAAATCTGGATGGCTGGATGAGACTATAGAGACGGTTACACCGAAGTCACATAGTGTAATGCTTGTTAAACTTTGTGAAATATTTATATATCATGAGGACAACTGAGTTGTTTGTGTATATTGTCGAGATTCTAGAGCTTCAGGAGAATTTTCAACAGGAAGAATGTGGAACAATGTTTGGAAGTTGGATTTCTTAAAGCGTCATCTGTCAAATCCCTATGTTCAAAATACAAAGACTTCCTTGCTGAAGAGATTGTTATAGTCAGTCAGTACAATGACTTCAAGTTTGCAGTAGCTGAAAGAATCAAAAGCCAATTGGTTTTAAGTTTCCCAGATATGGTGACATTTGCTTACCAGAACGAACAGTTTCAGGATCTTGCAAAGTTGACGGATATAGGAGGAACATTCCTAGCATCAAGTGCAGAGTGTGAGCGTGGCTTTAGCTTAATGAACACTCTAAAAAACAAACTACAGAATCATTTACAAGTAGATCATTTGGACATGCTGATGTGTACTAAGAGTTACCATCTGGATGAAGGATTGATAGATCTGGACAGAGTTTATATTGAACGGGCAAAAGAAAAAGATTGCAGGGAAAAACAGTCAGGTTAGTTTAGCAGTCTTTGACATTTCGACCAATAAGGAAATTAAAATGCATTTGTAATTACATATCTTATTCTTGGCTGATAATCATTTATTGATATTTTTTTAGGAAAATTTTAAATTTAAAACACAAACTGTTGTTTTTCTTTTTTTACTTATGATGTCTCTATCTGAAAA